GAGGATGTACGTTTGAAAAGTTGGTCCTTGTTCCAAATCCGGTAGGTCACTAGCTCTTGATCGCGAGGCGCTTGCTGAGAGGATCCGCAGACGGTTCCCATAAACATTATCCCTGTTCTATCGCCCTCATCTCCAATTTCTCTCCACCACCTATCACCTTCACACTCAAATATCCGCATAAGCGCAAACGAAGATGCCAAGCCACCAACACCCCTGTACAACAACGCCCTTCTCCGCTCATTTACACCAAAATCGCATCTGCTGACCACTTACTCGTTGAAGGAGGAAAGCCCGGCTTTCGCAGACGCGTTAACGTTGCTTCGAATATGGGCCAACCAACGCGGTTTCAGCGAGGGTTCAAGGTTCTGTGTTCGAGGGTTCGAGGGTTCTGGCCCTTTCTGGGTGGGCCTCTTAGCGTTGCTTATGAAAGGGGAAGAACCGCGCGCTTCAGACTCAAAATACACGAAGAGAAGACCGTTGGGGAAGGGTTTAAGTTCCTACCAGTTGTTCAAGGCTGCGTTGGACTGCCTAGGTATGTTGCTTGAAGCTATTGGCGGGCGCCCTCTCACAATTCACCACAGCCAAACATCCCTTCGGCAAATCACCTCTCTTCGTAAAGGCCAAAGATGGGCATCGGGTACGTTCACAATACTGTGACCCAACCCTAATCTAACCAGATGCTCAGTTCCCACCAGAGGAGTACGAAGGCCATGAAGCTGTGCTGGTCGACTCGGGCTCATTCGTTAACTTGCTTTCTGGAGTACCGCTGGGCTCCGTCAAACTGGTGAGCGGACTCGAGTCCTGAGGTTATATATAGCTGACGATGACCCAGCTTCAATACGAAGCATCCAAAACTCTGGAGATCTTGAATGAGACGACGATAACGGGAGATCCTTTCACAGAAGTTTTCCTCAAGGACAATCGCGATTTGTCAACCAGATTTGATGTTGTTCTTCGGTATGTCAATCTATTTGCATATATTCATGTATGACTAGGCTGAACGAGGACACACATACAGCGTCGATCTTTCGTCTGCTAAGCCTCGCTCTTCGTCTATCCAAACTACGCTCGACTCGGGATCGACTTCTACGGCTCTGATGTCATCACTTGGCTCTTTGGTCAGTCGAGGTCTCGGAGACCGCGTCCAAGCTGCCGCAATCCTTCACCCTTCCCCTGCAGCGCGATCAGTATCTCAAGCCCACCCCTTCGTACCCGATGTTATCATCATCGGTCTTGTCCTTGATCCTCAAAACGCATTCTGCCTCGTTGATCATGGACCTGCAGCTGACGACGAAGACCAGGTTGCCCTCAACGACTTCCGGGAGCTCTGGGGAGACAAGTCCGAGCTTCGTCGTTTCAAGGACGGACGGATAATCGAGAGTGTTGTTTGGGAGGTCAAAACAGCTGATGAACGCGCTCACGTCCCAGCAATGATTGTCCAACATATTCTTAAGCGCCACTTTGGCCTCGAAGAAGACGCGGTTCAAACCTGGCAAACCTCTTTCGACTCAGTTCTCCGACTCCCCGAATCCATTTCAAGCAAGTACCTTGCTTCGGGTGTTTCAACCGGTTTCAAAGGCGCTATGACGGCGTTTGACAACTTGGTGAAGGCGATCAAGGCCTTGGATGACGA